TTCGTTTCAGTTTTACTTAACGAAATGTTAAGCGAATATCACCCAGTGGCATCGCTCCGTCCGACGAAATCTACTTAGCGAAGTCGTTCTCTTTATACTTTAACAGTTTTTTCAGGGGCTCTGAAGTGTCAATATAAAACCAGGAAAAATATTTCTTATAGCTCCGCACGAAATGCAGTTAGTCACCGCTGGTATGCCGTAGCCATTCAGGGGTCCTTAGCCCCTTCAACGCCTCTGCTATTGCGTCACATGCTGCCGACCATTTTTCGCTACTTTGAAGCATAGCCTCCACGAGTGACTCAGGCGTGAAACTCTCGCCAGATATGTTGCTAAGTTTGCATCTGGTACTGTCAAATCGCATACACTCAAAAAAGACGTATTCTATTTTATCTCCTCCGCAGTAGTCGCATATGGGTTCCGGTTCGTGTTTGAATCGATGAAGGTATGCTTTGAAGCACCCGTGTCGAGTTAAAAAGTTTGTCAAATAGAAATGGACTTCGCCGTTTAGTCTGCTTCATTTACGTGTATATACTTTTTGCTCTTCGTTATGCGCACTCTAATTGAAACCTTCACGATTGTAATCGTATTGTAATGTATGAAGATATTTGGTGGTACAAATATACCACTTCTTTGTCTTTAAGGACTATGTGTTCGCAGATCCCAAAAAAAGTCCCCTTTATTATTAAAAAGGTTTTATTAAACAACTTTCATGAAATTTCATGATCGTAAGTACTTTGATTGAGTTAATGGAATGTTGAAAAGGCTGGCCTTTTTTAACCTTTTATTTTGGGCCATTTAGCTTTTTTAGTTTTTTATTTATTTGCCGATCTAGTTTTTTAGTTTTAAGTCCTGGCAACGCTGATTTCAGCTGGTATTGCCCGCTCGTACTTTCTCATAGACCCGCTTATACACATACAAACCCTACCCAAGGTGTATTAAACAAGGTGTGATTGACAACTCAGTGCGGCTCTCTTTTAAGGTACTATAATGTCAAAAAGTATAAACCAACGAATTAACCCTTAGTGATGCATGTATCTTGTCAGCACTGATACCAAGGCTTTTATTTTGATTATAGTTTTGTTTTACTTACATTACTTGGAATATATATATTTTGTCAATAAAATAAAACAAATTGTTTATAAAATCGTTTTAGCAATTTTCTTGTTTTTAATTGCCCAAGTTTTATGCTTTTGTGCGTTTATTTTTATATTTAAATAGAAGTATAATTTTACATTTATTTCCAATTTTATATGAGAGCTTAACTCTAACAATTTTGAAAATAAATTTTTTTTATGCGAAATAGTTTGTTTATAAACGAGCTCGTTTGAAAGTGCTTGACTCGCACGGACAACAAATGAAATCACTTTCCTTGGTTTTCACAAACGCGAGATGAATCACGTAGTACAACACTACATCGCTGCCGTCTTAACTCGCAACTAGGTGGTTTAAAACATCGCTCTATTTTCGTGTCCTGACTTCTATTGCA